ACAATCTCGGTCTATTATAGTGTAATCGAAATCGAATTAGTACAATCTTGATCAATTATAGTGTGATCGAACTCAAATTAGTCAAATTAGTACAATCTCGGTCAATTATAGTGTAATCGACCTCGAATTAGTCCAATTGATGTCGAATTAGTATAATCTCGGTCAATTATAGTGTAATTGAACTCGAATGAGTCCAATTGAAGTCAAATTAGTCCAATTGAAGTCGAATTAGTACAATCTCGGTCAATTATAGTGTAATCGAACTCGAATTAGTCCAATTGAAGTCAAATTAGTACAATCTCGATCAATTATAGTGTGATCGAGCTCGAATTAGTCCAATTGAAGTCAAATTAGTACAATCTCGGTCTATTATAGGGTAATCGAAATCGAATTAGTCCAATTGAAGTAAAATTAGTACAATCTTGATCAATTATAGTGTGATCGAACTCAAATTAGTCAAATTGAAGTCAATTAGTACAATCTCGGACAATTATAGTGTAATCGAACTCGAATTAGTCCAATTGAAGTCGAATTAGTATAATCTCGGTCAATTATAGCGTAATCAACCTCGATTTAGTCCAATTGAAGTGAANATTAGTACAATCTCGGTCAATTATAGTGTAATTGAAATCGAATTAGTCCACTTGAAGTAAAATTAGTACGATCTTGATCAATTACAGTGTGATCGAACTCGAATTAGTTCAATTGGAATCAAATTAGTACAATCTGGGTCAATTATAGTGTAATCGAACTCGAATTAGTCCAATTGAAGTCAAATTAGTACAATCTCAGTTAATTATATTGTGATCGAGCTCGAATTAGTCCAATTGAAGTCAAATTAGTACAATATCGGTCAATTATAGTGTAATCGGCCTCGAATTAGTCCAAATGAAGTCAAATTAGTACAATCTCGGTCTATTATAGTGTAATCAAAATCGAATTAGTCCAATTGAAGTCAAATTAGTACAATCTCGGTCTATTATAATGTAATCGAAATCGAATTAGTCCAATTGAAGTCAAATCAGTACAATCTCGATCAATTATAGTGTGATCGAACTCGAATTAGTTCAATTGAAGTCAAATTAGTACATTCTCGATCTATTATAGTATGATTGAACTCAAATTAATCCAATTGAAGTCAAATTAGTACAATCTCGGTCAATTATAGTACTAATTTGACTTCAAGTGGATAATTCGAGCTCGATTACAGTATAATTGACCGAGATTGTACTAATTTGACTTCAGTTGGACTAATTCGAGTTCGATCACACTATAATTGACCTAGATTGTACTAATTTGAGTTCAATTGGACTAATTTGAGTTCGATCACACTATATATATATATATATTCGACTTTTTAAAAAAAATAATAATAAAAATTAAACACGGATTGTGGAAATTCAGTTATAATTTTTTTTTAAATTTTTTTTAAAACACTCTGCTAAGACCTTTGAGAACTTGCCCAAATACCTCTTATCACTTGCCCGAGCATCATGGAGCATCCAAATTCAGTGGACTCCTCCTCCTGCGGAGCGAGCAAAATCCTCTTTGAAATTCTGTCCTGAAGTTTGGCCCGAATACGAATACTCAATTACATTGAGCCTTATAAAGAATAAAGAAAGGCCTTAGATCAAGGATTTTTTTTGGTTGAGCTAATGCATAGTTACAGAGAAAATTAAAATAAAAACTAAACACGGATTGTGGAAATTCAGTTATAATTTTTTTTTAAATTTTTTTTAAAACACTCTGCTAAGACCTTTGAGAACTTGCCCAAATACCTCTTATCACTTGCCCGAGCATCATGGAGCATCCAAATTCAGTGGACTCCTCCTCCTGCGGAGCGAGCAAAATCCTCTTTGAAATTCTGTCCTGAAGTTTGGCCCGAATACGAATACTCAATTACATTGAGCCTTATAAAGAATAAAGAAAGGCCTTAGATCAAGGATTTTTTTTGGTTGAGCTAATGCATAGTTACATAGAAAATTAAAATAAAAACTAAACACGGATTGTGGAAATTCAGTTATAATTTTTTTTTTTATTTTTTTTTTCAAAAAAAATTAAACACGGATTATGAAAATCAGTTTTTTGATAAATTTTTTTTTTTTAAAAAACGGATTTTGAAAATCCGGGCGTTTGATAAATTTCCACAATATTTTTTTTTTTTGTTTTATTTTTTGCCACATATATATATATATATATATATATATATTTTTATATATAAATAAACCACCCATAACACATAAGTCAATATTAGCTATGAGCTCAAAATTCACTTAAAAGTTATAAGTTAGTTTATCAACTATAAATTAACTTATCAGTTAAACATAGTCATAATCAAATTGATAAAATTAACGGCAATCAATTAAAAAAAAAAGAGATTATTTGAACATTTTGCAAAGTTACATTGGAAGATATGAATTAAGGTTATAAATTTTGAATAAAACCACAACACCAATATGAGAAATTTAATAATTATAAATTATTTTCCTAGATAAACATAATAAAATACTCAATTTAATTATGTTATGCTATATAAATAATATAACACGGACATAATTAATTAAACTAAGTAAACTTCAATCACATTCATTAGTTAGTTCGACGCATAGTTTTTAAACTCGGCCCAGAAATCGACTCGGGCAAGTCTCCGGGTCAATTGCTGAACCGGATAATTAATTTTAAAATTTTTAAAATTATATATATAGTATTTTTGACATATTAATATACATAAAAGTAACAAAAATAAATGTTTTTTATACAAATTTTTTACATTTAAGTGTTAATAATATTGTATCTCACAATAAATATTTATTATATCATTATATTTACATAGTTTTTATTTTTTATATAAAAAATATTTAAAAAAAAAAAGAAAATATAGAGACCGAGTCAATGACCAGGGTCGACCGGGTCAAGGCTGGATTTTGACCGGGTCCATTGTTATCCGGTCAAAATAGCCCGCCCGGATTGGTTTCGGCTCCGGGTCGACTGGATACTAGGTCGACCCGCCGGGCCGGTCTGGGTCAAAAAACAATGGTTCGAGGACACAAACTCGTCCATTTTTACAAATTGAGCCAAGTTGTAATGGGATATGTAAAATATTGTAGGTTTTAATATTCACTCACGTTTTTTTTTTTTTTTAAATAAAAATTAGCTAACATAATATAAAAAAAGAAAATATAATCCCCTCTATATATAATTTCAGAATGCGCTGAGCCTACGTGGCAAATTCTCATGCTTTGGAATTCTATTTGGCAAAAAATCATGCTTTGGAGTTAGACTTGGATATAAATTAATATTTGTATTAATTGTATTTTAATATCATTTTCTATTATAACCATTGAATTGCAAATATATTTTAGGAGTTGATAACTTTTGTATTTCTTATCGGTTTTACATATATAATATATCAAATTAATCATCTTTTGATGAGCTTCGATATGACATCCACATTGTATATATAAAATAAATAAATTATATTTATCTGTATAATGATAATAAAATTATTTATTAAAATTAATTAAAAAATAAAATTATTTATCAATTAATATTTTTCATAATATTAAATAAACATATTCTACACTTATGCAAAAATATATCATCATAATATTTCTATTTACTTAAGATATATATTTTTTTGCTTATATAATAGTAAATAATATCGATATTATTATATAATATAAGTAAATAAATTCAACACGGGTTGACATTTTTATTTAATGTACATGTGTTTACTTATTATGATTAAAAAAATATAATTTGACAATTTAATTAAAACCCAAAATAGTGTTTTATATAAAATTAAATTATTTAAATTTTTAAAAAAATAATTTTTTTTTTTTACAAAAACTTTCTAATTCAACACCCGTGTAACACACGGGTATTGCACTAGTAAGTATTAATTCTCAACAACAAAAACTATTTATTTATATACTAGTTTTAACCCGCACGGAAAACGATACAATAAAGAAGAAATTAATAAAAACACATACGAATAANNNNTNNT